GGTGGCCCTCTCTAGTGTAGGATGGGGAGGGAGAAAGTTTGGAACTTAAAATATAACCAAAAAATTAAATTAAAAAATAAGAAAATCAGTTTACGGGGTATGGATTAGAGTTGTTACACATTTAGCCACCCTCCTACACACTGTTCAGAATAATTCACAATTTCAGAGATTCTTACCAGCTATGAAAGACTTCATTACATTCACCATAATGTTCTTACTAAGGCAGGAAAGTAGATTAAAACATTTTAGAAAGAGTTGAAAAGAACAACCAGTCCTGCATTCCTAGTATATATCCAAGCTAGTCATAGTATATTATATTTGTACTATGTTGCTTTAGTTCTCTCATTAATATTTAATTTAGAATTTTTGTATCAATATTAGGGATATTTGTCTATAGTTGTCTTTCTCTATTTTGACCCTCCCTGGTTTAGGTATCAAGTCTGTATCTGCGTCATAAAAGAAATTTGGTAGGACTCCTCTTGTTCCTATTTTTTCAAATAGCTTTTGTAATATTGGGATTAATTATTTTTTAAATGTTTGGTAGAATTCATTTCTAAATCCATCTGGTCCTGAGATTTTTTTCTTTGGGAGGTCCTTTGTGACTTTTTCAACTTCTTTTTCTGAAATTGGATTAAGATTTCTATTTCTTATTCTCTTAATTTGAGCATTTCATATATTTGTAAAATCCATCTATTTTATTTAGATTGTCAGTTTTATCGGCATATAATTGGTTGAAATAGATTTTAGTAATTTATTTTTTAATAGTATTTTTTCCCAATTACATGTCAAGACAGTGTTTAACATTCATTTTTACAAGATTTTGAGTTCCAAATTTTTGTCCCTCCTTCCCTCCCCCCCTTTCTGAAAATGGTAGGCAATTGATATAGGTTACACATGTGCTATCATGTAAAACATATTTCCATATTAGTCACAATTGTGAAAGAAGAAACAAATCAAAAGAAAAAAACACAAAAAAAGAATTAGGCAAATTTAAAAAATGCTTTGATCTGCAAAGAAAAAAGAATTGAAACAAAGAGTTTTCTTCATTAGCATAAATTAATAAGAAGATGGAACACCTTATTCCTCAAGCATTTAGGTAAATCAAGATTTGTGATGCAGGAATTTAATTTATATAACTGTGCTTCTAGGAGTCCAGTTGAGTACCTCTTTCAACCATTTCACTCTGTTCCACTCAAGTCTACATTAAAGTTAGACTTTCTTGTTATTGGTTTTCTTTTTTAAAGAGGTCCATTAGTATTCTATGAGAGGCGCTGATTACATGGAGAGAGCAACAAACAAAAAAGGAACCATGGGGGAAGCTAGGTGTTGCAGTGGATAGAGCACCGGCCCTGGATTCAGGAGGACCTCAGTTCAAATCCGGCCTCAGACACATAACACTTACTAGCTGTGTGACCCTGGGAAAATCACTTAACCTCTCTATGTCTCAGTTTCCTGAACAGCAAAATTGTGATAATAACAGCACCTACCTCCTCAGGATTCTTGTGAGGATCAAATGTGATAATATTTGTAAAGTGCTTAGCATGGTACCTGGCCATCAATCAATAAACATTCATTAAGCACCTTCTATGTGCCAGGCACATAGGAAACTTAGGAACTGAGGCAGAGAAGTCACTTAAACTTTGTCTGCCTCAATGTCCTCAGCTGTAAAATGGGGATAATAGCATGTACCTTCCAGGATTGTTAAAAAGGATAAAATGACATATTATTTGTAAAACACATAAGATAGCACCTGGCATATCATGAGAATGTAACAAATCCTTGTTCCTTATCCCTCACCCCCAACCCTAGATTACTCACCTCATCTGCCTCTTTTGTTCCTACTCATGAATGAAATGGGAGGAGATCATGAAACCCAGCTGTTTGGGTCCACTATAAACTTATGCTACATAATCCGACTGGACACTTCCTACATTGCAAGGCAATCCTACAACTCTTCCCTAATTTATTCCCTGTCAGCTGTAGCAGCTGTTCCAAAACCTCTTCTTTCTTCAAGCCCTTCATGCCTGTCTCTCACTTTATTTACTAAGAACCTCCCATCTTACTTCACCAAAAAAAGTTGAAGTTTTTCACCTCCTCTTTGTACCTCCTCCTCATTTCCCATCCCTCTAACAGATTTCTTCCTTCATTCCAATCTCTGATGATGAGTTAGCTCTTCTGCTTGCCAAAGTCAACCCTTCTACACGTACCCTTGATTATGGAATCAAAATCCAGCAGATTGCCCCCACCATCATCCCCATTCTCTAATCTTTAGTCTCTCCCTATCTACTAGCTCCTTCCCAGCTACCTGAAAATAGGCCCATGTCTCCCTTATCCTAAAAAACAAAAACAAAAACAAAACCCTAACTAGATCCTGCCATGCCTGAAAACTATCATCCTCTTCCAATAAAAACTTGAAAAAACCAACTACCTCTGGTGCCTCCATTTCTTCTCCACTCACTCTCTTCTAAACCACTGTAATCTGGCTTCCAAACTCAATGTCAACTGTAACTGGTCTCTCCAAAGTTACCAATGATCTCTTAATCACCAAATCTAATAGCTTTTGCTCCATCCTCATTCTTACTTGACTTCTCAGCTGTTGACCACCTTCTGCTCCTCAATACGCTCTCTTCTCTGGGTTTTAATGCCTCTGTTCTCTGAGTTCTCTTACCTGTCAGAGTCTTCTCAGTTTCTTTTCTGGATTTTCATTCATGTCATGCCTATTCACTGTGGATGTCCCCAACAACTGTCTTTTGGGCATCCCTTTCTTTTCTTTCTATACACTCTTACTTGGTGATCTAATCAGCTTCCATGTGTTCAGCTGTCATATCTATGAACCTGACTGCCACATCTATTTATCTTGTTCTAGCCTCTGTCCTGAGTTCCAGTCCCTCATGGCCAACTACCTAATGTCTAATGACATTTCAGACGAGATGGCCTATACGTATCTCAAACTCAGCATGTCCAAAAATAAACTCATCTTTACCCCCAAACCTTCCTCTGTTTCCAAATTTCCAATTACTGTCAGGGTACCACCATCCTCCTAGTCACTCAGGCTCCCAACCTCAGTGTCATCCTTGATTCTATTCTCTTGATCAACTTACATATTTAATCAGTTGCCAAATCTTATAATTTATTTCTCTACAATATTTCTCATATGTGTATGTATATGTGTGTGTTTGTGTGTGTGTGTGTGTGTGTATATATATATATATACACATATATATGTGTGTGTGTATATATATACATATATATCAGATATATATATATCAGATATATACAAGGCATATATGAGATACAGGAGATACATATGAAATATATGATACATATCAAAAAACTCATAGAACCACCATACTAGTTCAGGCCCTAATCATCGCACACTAGGACTATTGCAATAGTCTCCCTGATTGATCTCCCTGATTGAAGTGTCTACCCACTTCAATCCATTGTCCACTCAGCTGCCAAAGTAATTGTCTTTTTTTCTTTTTGACTAATTAAAAATTATATTTTTTTTGCTTATTTAACACTCATTTTTTTAAAATTTGAGTTGCAGATTTTCTCTCTACCTCCTGTCCCTCCTGCACCCACTGAGAAAGTAAGCAATATGATAAGAGTTATACATGTGATGTCATACAAAATATATTTCCAAATTAGTCATGTTGCAAAAAAACAAAAACAAAAACAAACCAAAAGCAAGAAAAAATAAAGTGAAAAAAGTATGCTTCAATCTGCGCTCAGAGTTCATCAGTTGTCTCTCTAGATAGCATTTTATACCATGGATCCTTTGAAATTGTCTTAGATTATTGTCTTGATCTAAGTAGCTAAGTCAAAGGAATTTTCTTAAAGCAGGGGTCTGACCATATCACTCTCAACTCCAATTGCTCCCTATTACCTCTAGGATTAAATATGAAACCCTTTGGCACTTGATGCTGCTTACAGCCACATCTCTTTCTACCAGTCCAGTCTTCTTCTACATTCTGCTATCAGCCATGTACTCTATGATCCGGCCACAGTGACCTACTCGTTCCTTACACATGACATGACATTTTCCATACCCATACCCTAACACTGGCTGTTTCCCATGCCTGGAATATTCTCCTTCCCTCACCTTCATCTCTTAGTTTCCCAGGCTTCCTTCAAAACAGCCCAAAGCCCACCTTCTGCAGGAGTCCTCAGCCCTCCAAAGTCCCATCCCCTCAGGTTACCTTCTGTCTGCTCTTTTTACTTATTTTGGGTCTTTTGATTCTACATGTTGTCTGTCCAAGTATTTTCTAAGCTCCTAAAGAGCAGGGACTATTTTTGCCTTTTTTTTAAATGCATCATAAATATTTGAATTTCAGTGAAAACAACTCTAACAAGATGAAATTTTGTAGTGAACTGCTAAGAGGACTGACCCATATACATTTCATTAGTAAGGAGATTCATGATACACTTCATACCATTCTTGTACTTCTGTTTCATATATGAACTGTTTAACAGCTGTAGAATATCGTAAGTGATTGAATTTCTTCAAGACTTCTAGGTCTTTTTTCTAATTATATTCCTCTAGACCTGGGTTTGTAACATTTACATGAAATAAACCTACTGAAACCACCCATGGGGTTTTAAATTTCCCAAAGCATTCTTTCAATCATTTGTTAAACTCTGATGATGACCACTTTATAATATGCTAGGCCACTTCCTTTCAGATTTTTTTTTCACTAATTCCCTTGATATTCTTAACTTTTTGTTTTTCCAGGTAAATTTTGTTATTATTTTTTTATCTCTATAAAATAATTTTTGGTAATTTGGTATGGTGCAGAATAAGTAAGTTAATTTAGGAAGAATTGTCATTTTTATTATATTGGCTAAGCTTACCCATGAGAAATTGGTACTTTACCAGTTGTTTAGATCTGTCTTTATTTGTGTGAAATGTTTTGTAATTGTGCCCATATTGTTCCCGAGTTTGTTTTGGCAGGTAGACTCCCAAGTATTTTATATTGTCGACAGTTATTTTAAATCTTTTCCCACTCTTACTGCTGGACTTTGTTGGTAATACACAGAAATGTTGATGACTTATGTGGGTTTATTCATTTGTTAAACTCTGGAGCAGTATTTGGTCTTATAAGATTTTTGAATGGGTATCGGTAATCATCTGGGCTTCTTCCCCAGTCAAACCTTGCTTTTTGCATTTGCTTTTTCAAGATGCTTAAATGAGGTCAAATGCAAATCTTCCTTTTTATTATTTGAAGAGTCCTGGCTGGTGTCTACTGGGTGCTCCTCCAAGTCCAAGTTCCCTGTCCTCCATGATAGTTGGTGCCCTCACTTTTCTTCCTCTGCGTTATTCTTTTCACCTATTCCTTCCTTGTACTTTTCCCTTTCCTCATCCTTGTCTTTAGCTTCATCCAAGTTAATATCTTTTTCAAACTTATCTTTTTTTAGCAGATCTTCACTTGAAGGTAATTCTGTAGCTTCCTGCAAAATATTAAAGGAAACATGTCGAGAAAGACGCATCCTTGCCACTGCTTCAATGTCTTCTTTTAGCTCCTGAAGAAATTCTGAGCTCATTTTGCTTTCATGCTTTAAAGTTTGCCTTTTTGTTTCTAATTCAAGTTCATCTGTGCTTCTCTTTTTTCTAAATGGGCTTAAAATGATACTTTTCAACTTTGTTTCTGACTGAATTAAGTTTATTCTTCCTGGGCTTATATGGCTCTGTTTTGGTTTTACTTTTGGTGAAGCCAAGCCTGTGATCCATCTTTCTGACATTTCTCCTTTAGGGCCAATGTTTTCACATACTAGTTCATCTCTTTCATCTATAGAGTCTACACGAATTTCTTTTTCTCTTAATGAAACAGGAGGTAAAGGAGAAGGAAGGCTTTCATTTTTTGTTTCAGCATCTCCTTGAAGATTTAAACATAAATCTGGAGACCACTCTCTCATTTCTGCCAGTGGCAGCCTCTTCTTAAGTTCAGGTGTTTTGATAGGAAACTCAGATAGAAGAGGTTTAACCTCTTGCTTTTTTAGTGAGTATTCTAGTGTCTGGGAGAAACTTGCTAGAGGTGGAGAATCATGCTTAATAAATATGGCATCATTACCATCAATATCATTAGCGTCTTTCAGGTCTGTTTTCATGCGAAGAATTTGGTCTAAATATCTAGATTTCTCTTCCCATGTTTTCAGATTTCTGTATTCTTTCTTCATTCTTTCAAGTCTCTCTCGAGGTTGTTGCTGAAGTTTTTCAAGTCTTATGGGAGATGATGAATGAGTCTGTTTTTGCTGCGTCCCAACAGTAACATTCAGGTCTGGCGATAAGAAGGCTGGATATTCTATTAGTTGTGGTGTGATAACATTTGTTAGAGGGTCTGTTCTTTCTGCAGGTGGGGGGATATGCATAAACATGGATGGCTGAATCAACTTCTGAAGTGGTTTTAACTGATGTGAAAAGCCATAACCAAAGTTTCCATAGGAAAACATAAATTCCACTTCAACCTTGCAGACAATCTGGTTTCTAATCCTCATAAGAAATTCTTCTGTGAAGCATCCCTTCTGAATTACTTCATAAAGATGTAAGCCAAAACTTCCCAATACTACAGGGTATGCTTTCAAATGATCAAATTTCATTAGCTCCAAATAAATCATATTCCTTCCATCATCCTGCCGTCTTGGAACCTGTACAGAGAAGTATTTCACTTCTTCAAACTTAATTTCAGGTCTATTCTCATTATTTTTACAATTCAAGGAATGAGTTTTAGTGTATTTCATGATCTTGTTTACAGTGATGCGAATAAACAAATTTGTGAAATGCTGTAAGTTGGTCATAGGTGAAAAATGCCTGCATCTTCTTATATGGACAGCTAGGCAGCCAACGACATCACCAAGTGGAACCAAAGCTGGTACAGCCTGTGCTACATCTAATTCTTGATCCTCACTTCCTTTAATAGTTTTTCTCAGCATGTTCAACAGCTTTCGGCCTGTACTCTCCTTACTGTCATCACTGATAAGATCAATCCTCGTGGAGGATTGCTGAGTGGAGGACGCCAGAGACATGGAGTCCAAATTTCTTGTTTCGGCCATGTTGTCGTTAGCTCGGCTGTCGCTCGTGCGAAAAGGAACCGTGAACGGCGAATGAATTTTGGATTGCTGAGACTGACTAAGCTCCGAAACTTTCTTTTCCATCTGGCTCGGCTCCATCCCGCCCCCCTACCCTGGTCCCCTCAACCGACCGCGGTGGCTCGAGCCACCTTTAGCTTCTGAGCTCGCGCTGGGGGACATGGAGGGGAGGAGAAGAGGGTTGTCCTGGGCACTGAGCGCAATCGTTGGTAGTAGGATCTTACTCACTGGGCACTGGGGTTGGGGTGAGGGAGTAGCAAAGCTCTTGTTGCTCACAAGCTGGGAGGGGCTTTGCTTTTTTCCCTCCCCAATTAGCGCAGTACCTGGCACATAATATGAACAAATAAATGGTGGTTGATTTATTGGACTGATAGGCACAACACTTGCTTTCTTTTTTCTTTTTAGGCAATTGGGGTTAAGTGACACTTGCTTTCTAATTCTGATATATGTTCTATTAGTCTATAAGGTCCAAGGGGAAAGGGCTCTTGTGTTATTCTTTTTAATTCCCACAATGCTCCATAAATGTTTCTGAATTAGTGACCTTAGGCAAGTTATATATCCTTGTATTTTAAAATATATCCTTATATTTAATTTGTTTTCTTGTTTTCTAGTATGTGTGTAAGAGGAGGAATTGGTCTCTATCACAGATAATGAGGTACTAATGTGTTAAAAAGGTGTCAACATTCTACTATCCATCTATAGAGTGTGAACATCTTTCTCAGATGGAATCAAAATGGGGCAATGTCATTGGCTAGGTAAAAATTAACCATGTCCCCAAGAATCAACAAAAAGCTGAATTCAGTCCATTCAAGACCCAGAGAACTTTTGTGGAATGTGATCCTTGTGTGTCTACCAGAGTACACCAGGGATTTATCTCTTCTTTTTACCTTCTATCAGCCATGGAGCTTAGCAACAGAGCCATTTGTCCAATAGGAGACATTCTATCCATCAGTTTTGGAGTTCTTCAGTTTGAGAGAGTTCAAGACATAGTTGAGGGAATAGAGGCTCTCCAGGATTTTGGACACAGACATGCAGCAGCTCTCAGGCAAAAAGCAGTTTCAATGTGCGTAACCCCCGGGTAGCAGAGAAGAGAGTCAGTCTTAGATTTAAGGGAAGTCATGAAGTCCCTGAAGTCCTGATGCAAGTTATGGAGAAGATGACTCCATGGGAAGAGAAAGGATATCAAGGCCGTCTAGTTGCATGGGCAACATGACCCTGAAGGCATGAGTTGCCTTGGCCATATGTTGCATGTGAGGCCCATATGTGCCTATCATATTCAGAATTTGTGCTCATTCTTCTCATGATTGTTAAGTGTACTTGTGGGACAGTATGCTTCAAGTTTATAGGGAAAATGTTTTATAGCTACTATTTTTACAATATCATGTTAATAAATATCTTTGCTTTGAGTTAATTGTGCCTACCAGCTATCAATCTGAAGCACACTGATGGTGACTCATGAACTATAGTTTTAGAAGTATAGACCTGCAGGCTACCCTGCAACCTGAAAGTAGCAGATGTCTTCTGGGATCCAACTCATGAGTATGGGTTCAAGCTGGGACAGGGGATCCTAGAGAGAATAGTGTAAAACCAGATGGTTAAATTAAGTAATTTTTAAATTCTTTTATAACTCAATGCCTTTGTTGTTGTTGAATTGTCACCTCATGGACCATGGGGTTAACTTGGCAAAGATACTGGAATATTTTCTTCTCCAGCAGATTAAGGCAAACAGGGTAAGTGACTTGCTCAGCTGTTAAGTTATCTGAGACCAGATTTGAACTCAGGTATTTCTGACTCGAGGTCCAGTGCTCTATCCACTGCCTAGCTGCCTCCTATGAATGCCTAATATAACCCATATCATGGCTGATGCAGATCTGAGGCAGGATGAAATAATTTGGTGAGCTAAGCTTGCCTTGGGCTGTCATACTAACATACAGGGAATAAAACAGGTGCTCTTGAGTCCCTGACATTCAGTTCCACAGAAAATATGCAACAAATTGAACCAGGGGCATATCATACAAGCAACTAGGTGACTCAATGGGTAGAGTGTCAGGAAGACCTGATTTCAAATCTGACATCAGAGTCTTACTAGCTGTGTGACCCTGGGCAATGAACTTAATTTCTCTGTGCCTCAGTTTCCCCACCTACAAAATGGGGATAATAATAACATCTACCTCAGAGTTGTTGTGAAGATCAAAAGAGTAATATTTGCGAAGCACTTAGCATATGTAGCAGGTACTACATAGCATGTAGCAGGAACTAAATAAATACTTATTCTCTTCACTACACAACCCTATTTAATTACACTTTCTGTGAGAAAACATTGTCATTGGTTAGAAAACCTGCTTTAAAACTCCATTTACAGTCAAGAATATCAAGAGAATTTAAAAAAAAATGTGAAGGATGGTGACCTAGCAATACCAGATCTCAAGCTGCATTATAAAGTGGTGTTGACATTACACTTTGCTCTAACTCATGGACCATCTGATTACACACAAACAGCTGATTCCCAAATGACTGTTTCATCTATAATGAGTTGTTTCTTGTTAAGATATAATTTTACTCTTTGTGATGTGGTTCAGTGCCTTCTGACCCTCTCTTCCTGAAGAAAGTATTCATGGTATAGCTAAGAGCCTTTGGTATCTTTCATTTCTTAACCTCAAACCACATTTCCTTTCTTTAAATTTAAAAAAAAATAATAATTTGAAATGTTATATACTTAACACCACCAAATAAAATGGACATTTCCATGTTCATTGTAAAACAGAAGAGGATTGTACATGAAACTGCAAGTCACTATTATGTAGAACTTGCTTTTAAGGATATAATATAAATTCAATATGTAACTTTTGAAACTATTTTCATCATATTTTCCTTATTCTTCCTCTTGCCTAATAATAGTCATACAATGTATATATTAACTTTAGAGACAGTTAGGTGATACAGTGGACGGAGCGTTGGCCCTGGAGTAAGGAAGATCTGAGTTCAAAACCAGCCTCAGATACTTACTAGCTATGTGACCCTGAACAAGTCACTTAAAGCTTTGTCTGCCTCAGCTTTCTTATATGTAGGAGATAATAATAGCATCTACCTTTCAGGGTTTTTGTGAGGAGATTATATATATATGTGTATAATATATATATATATATATATATATATATATATACATATATATATATATACATATATGTATATGTATATATAATATATATATGTGTGTATATATATATATACATATATGTATATGTATATATAATATATATATACACATACATACATATTTTAAATTTAAGAATATTTTAATAGATATATGAGGATATTTGTAAAGCACTTTGCAAACCTTAAAATGCTACATAAATGCTATGTATCATTACTATTATTATTCTTGTCTCTCTTATTTAGCCCATCCATGCTGGCTCTCAGAATAGGACATCTGGCATTTACTTCTTCAGGGTGATGAATACATTTCCTGATGGATGGCCAGCATTTCTGGAAGAGGCTGGTCAGCTCCATTAGGAGGAACTGCTCCCTCTCCAGGGGCACCATCTATCACTTCACCTCTTGCTCTGCTCCATCAGCCAAATGCTGTGGGAGTTCAGAGAAGGGAGTGAATTTTGCAAATTGGAATGATCTGAGAAGGCTTCACAGAGCAGCTAAAAAATTAATAAGCTTTGAATAGGGGTATATAATGCCTCTCCTGAAGAGGGTAAGAATGGTCTGGACTTGCAAAGTATTCTTGGGATTTGGAGATATTTATTTTTCTCGAGGCAAGGAAATACCACAGGCTTTGGGACTGGGGTGGGACTAAAAGGTGTGTCCAAGATAAAGAAGGAGAGAGAACACCTGGAGAAGAGAACACCTGAACTTCCCAATTCATTGGGTTAGGATTAGAAAGCATTTCTTTCTGAGAGCATGATCACGAGCCATTCATATGCACTAGCCTTCTTGTTGATCACAATACTCAAAATTCCATCTCCTGATGATGCATTTTTATGGCTTCCAATATCTAGAATGCACACTCTGTCTGTCTGTCTCTGTGTCTCTGTCTCTGTCTGTCTGTGTCTCTGTCTCTGTCTCTCTCTTCCTTACCTCTTCTTGCCTCCTCCAGCTTCCTTCAAAACTTAGCTCATCTCACCTTCCACCAGAGACCTTTGCTTGTCCCCCTCAATGCCAGCACCTTCTCTCTGAGATTACCTCCAACATAATCCTTATGTATCTTGTGTGTGTATACACACACACACACACACACGTATATACATATAAGTACACATACATATATGTATGTTGTTGCAAGTTTTCTGCCCTCTTAGAATCTGATGAGCTCCTTGTTGGCAGGTACTGGTTTTGCCTTTCTTTGTATTCCCAGTGTGTTTAGCACAGTGCCTGGCACATAGTAATAAAGTTTAATATGTTAATATATTTTAATAAATGCTTGATCTTATTTGATCTGACAACTTGAGAAAGATACCTCCAACAGTTGAATTACTTCTAACCTGGGCCTTTAAATCTTCCCCAGAAGACCAAAATCCTGTAGTAATCCCTACTAATTTCAGGTGGAACATGCCTCAAATTTTAAACTTAGATGAGCTATTCCCAAAATTCAGAGACTCTTTGACTCATTATCCTCCTCCTCCCCCAAACAGAGTTTACTCTGGACAAACCTCTGAATTTAGATCATGGCTAAATTTCCAAAGACACTGGATGCAGGGACTTAACTACCATATAAGCATTCAAAATGACAATGCAAATGTAAGGTTTAATACCATCTTTATCTTACACCATTGCAAATGTAAAGAATTAACAGATCTATAAGCAAAGCAGAAAACCCATAAAAGTTTCACAATAGTCCCCAAACAATCCATATGATTTTCCTCTCACTCCAATTAGATCCCATTTCCCCCAAGGTCCTAATGTCCTTTGGCCTCTTCCTGGAAGAAAAGCCTACTTTTGGCTACTACATGGGCAACCCTTTCTCCTGAGACCCATCACATCAGAATACCACACGGAAACAGCAGTATGACAAGTCTAGGAGCTCCTCATCTGTCTGTTATCACAGAACACAATCTCGATCACAGAATCTTCAAATCTCATGGAGTCTCAGAGTCAGAAGGGATCTCAAAGACCACGTAGTACAATACATACCTGAACAACAGCCTACTGTATGGCATGCTGGGCAACACTGGTGTAATCTGGCATAGCAAAGAGAACTGGCCTGCACTAAGAGTCAAGAAAACCTGGGTTTAAATTTCACTTCCGAAACTCACTGGCTATGTGATGATCAGCCACAGTCAGACACATCAAAACTTGACTCTAGCATAGTGATGTCATTTAGGTCCTCTTCGAATATGAAGGACAACAACCACATACCTT